TTTTTTTTTAAGAGGGAAAAATTTTTTTAAAAATATTATTAGTGTTAATATAGTTAGGATAAGTATTTAGTAAACTGTAGTCTATATCGAAATAAAAAGGACGAACATATTCCAAAAAGTATATTTTAGCACAGCACCCATGGTAATACAAAGAAATTAAAGTATTAGCTGCATCAATAAAACCTTGAAAAGTGGATTCTATCCTAAGAAACCGAACAAGTTGGCTGTTTATAACATTACTATGTATTTGTGGGTAAATGTTGCTGCCTAAATATGAATATCTATTTACGTAAAAATTAAAACAGTCTCTCTTATTGTAAAGTGCAGTGCAAAGCACACCTGTCATATGAAAAATTAACATGTGGGAAATCAACCGTGGCACCATGTCCGGTAATATTACGTTCCCTGCTTATGTGCAACTCGCAAATTTAAGTTCAGCTTTCACGTATTTCTTGGTTTCACGCACAGACATGTGAAATTTTTAGCACCGAAATTATTAACTAAGAGGAACTACGGAGCTGGGAGACTGAAATTTTAGGATATTATCTACTCACGCATGACCCCTCAATTTTATGTTCAACTTTCACGTATGCCTATGTCTCACTTACGTTTGTGTGAAATTTTTGACCCCCAGATTTTCCAAAAATTTTTTTAAAATCGCCAACTTTTGAGCTATAAAGAAATTTTAGGAGAGTTTGGAGGCTAGGAGACTCATTTCTCAGTGCGAACACATGAAAGTTTTGGCATCAAAATTATGAACTCTGGGACCACAAAAGCTTAGAAGCTGTAATTTTAGGGGGATGTTCTCTGCTCCACTTATCCATATGTGAGATGTGCGCTATCGGGAGCGCCAATTTTGCATGTGGGAGTGCAGGTGCCTTATGCACTTCTGACATCATAATCAACTAAAGAGTCAAGCAGTCTAGAACCCCATTTCTCCGCTTTCCATGTCTTATTCTCTTTTACTGCATTTCTTGCTTTTTAATCCTGTAAAAACTGTAAAAACTTACGGTGTAGTAAGTTTATGCACTTTTTATATTTGTGTTATTTTTTGAACATTTTCTAACAGAAATTTTCACCTTAAAAATATTCTACTTTAATTTTATGTATATATTACCACAAATGTCGCACTGCTGAGGCCCGGTTTTGATACTGAGGAGGTATGTACACGAATTATAAACCGAAATATCTTGGTTATTTAAATATTTCTCATTTTCATTTTGTAATACATTATTTTAAATCAAATAAATTGTGATTACTATCATCGCTGTTACAAACATTATTATTATTATTATTATTATTGTTGTTATTATTATCATTATTATTGTTATTATTATTATTATTATTATTATTATTATTATTATTATTATCATTATTATTATTATTATTATT